CTGTAACTGGTCGGATAGGGTACCAAACAAGCACAAAAACAAAATTTGACGCAAACTGTCACTTTTCCAGGTGTGTACTTACAGTTGTGGAACCGAGACCAAACCTTTACTGTAAGATTGACTTGTCTGCTGATGGAAAGTATTCGGTGATGCAGATGGTGGTGCTGATTACGGCTTCGTATGTGATGAATGTCCCAAAAATATGTGTGATGTTCAATAAAGTTGTCCAAAGAAATTTTAATGCCGCATTCGGTGTGGTTACAACAATGCCAAAAGAAAGAATACTAACAGCAGCAGATGGTTTTTGGCGTTGTAATTCTTCACTGTATAACACAGGAGTGTAATAGAATTCCTGACCAAGGATGGCACGTGGCACTCTAGGTACTCCAAGTACCGTTAAGGCGACCACGCGGCCATATACCGTTACAACTACCGCTACAAAAATTCTGGAAGAAAGTAACGCACTCCTATACAAATTTGCTTATGTTCATTGGTTTGTTAGTTTCACCTACCCACTAAACCGCTCACTTTCGGCGAAAATATTTTGCTACGACAGGAAAAATAAAAAGAACACTCCACTTAAAATTCTTGAGTAGCACTTTCCACCGGTATTCATTTCATTTATACTGCGAAAATTGTTGTTGTGGTCAGCCGCTACGTCTTGTTAATTTGAATTGCATTTTTAGAATGATGCCCAAATGGCAATCGGCGCAAAAAGGAAAAAAGAGTAAGGGCCTTAGTCCGAAATTTGCATAAGATTTTACAAAAGGAACAATCGACTAATCGATATCATGATCGATATGCTGACTGATGACATATGGGCTATGGTCTGTTAACACGAGGTTGACATAACAAACCCGAACACGTTGATGGAGGTCTGCCGAAAGCGTACTGATTCGGAAGTCAACCGAAGAATAAGGGAATTGGAGAAGAACCGCGACCCTGATAAATCAAAACGAAAGCCGGGCGAAACGATTTCGTCGGTACCATATGCTGCAAATCTTTCGAATGATAGACCCCTAATTTTTTCCCTGGAGGTCTTCAATTTCGTATAGTGAGGCCCTACCTTCCGAACAACTCTACTTACTTACTTAGCTGGCTTGTTACAGAACGCTTGTTCCATAAGGCGAGCTTAAAAAAAGTATAAATTGTAAAGCTTGTGGTTCATTCGACGCCGATATTCACCGTCGACGCAGATCGGCCCGTAGATTTTTCGGAGAATTTTTCTCTCAAACACCCCAGGAGCTGCCTCATCTGCTTCTGATCCATATATTTCCTTTAATTTTAGATACATCGTATGATTATTGTGATATGATTATTCTACTGGTCTTTTGATTCGATCGTATGATTATTGTAATATGATTATTCTACTGGTCTTTTGATTCGATCGTATGATTTGAAATACGATCGATTGTGTGATTTACAAGAAGGGTGTGGCTTTTTTAAATGACAGATGGTACGATAATTGTAATATGAATATATGGTATGGTTTGGGTTATAACACCCCCGGACGAAGACTCTTTCCCGTGTGCCAAAGGAGCTGAGGGGAAGGACATAGTTACTTTTACTTTAACTGTGCTTGATCTAATTTTACATACAGATACAATGCTATAATAAGTATAATTACAGCTGTCAAGACTATTACTGTGTAATTAGTTACTTTCTGTACAAATTTTATGTCTGATATGAATTCGGTATTTTTAATATGATGATACTGTATTTCCTCTAAATAATCATATGAATCATTTATCATATGTATGTCTCTGTAGGGATTTGAAATTATTAACATGTTTTGAAACATTACTTTATTGTACCATTTGTCCAATTTTACTTTGCAATTTTCTATGATCAGCATGTGATTTCAAGAAAATTTTAAGGGGTATTTGTTACATGTATGATTAACAATTTGATTAGTATTTATAGCAATTATAATATTTAAGCCAATCTCGACAACTTCTGGTTTAGTATTTTGTATATAATGACATTTCATGAGCTTATAATTAAACAGATTGGATATACAATCATCCTCAACTTCCCTTAGATTTGGTGTTTCATTAACATCATAATAAATTTTATTATCTTTGATGATATACAATTTTTCTGCAATATTAATTTGCATTTTTTCTTTATTAGGTATTGGTTGGATATATACTTCTTGGAATATTTTAGGATTATATTGGGGTACTTATAAGACAAATTCTATATAATTTTTGTAAAGGGCTAAATTCATCTTAATTTCTTTCATTTTGTCTATGGTTATATTATATATTCTAATTTCTTCATCACTCAGGATATCTCGAGTGAGAACATTTAATTTAGAAGCCAAGATTAGGTCTCTTACTTTATCTAATAATTTGCCCATATGATCAATTTGGTATTTAAGACGGTAAACTTTATCAGCTTTTGCTGTGTTATCTTTAATTGATTTAACGTTTGACATGCTCTTAATCAACAGTTTTGTTTGGTCATTATATAATTTTGTTAAGTTAGCTAATTGATTGTCAAATTGTGTATTTGTGTGTATTTGATTATTAGTTTGCGTTATTATATTATGTTCATTCTTCTCCAAATTTTGCAGTTGTCTTTCAATCTCTTCTTTATCATTATTATCCATTGTACCATTTAGATATTTTAATCCTGTACCAAAAAGATTAATTAAACCTCTTCTACTTCTAGCTTAATGGGGAATAATACTTTTAAGTCGTAAATTTATGTGCTCGATTTCATGCGATAAAAATAAATCATTAATACGCGAAACTTACTCTTCCAATTCATTCATTGCATTGCATATCCGTTGCCTTGATTCAAATCGACTGCCTCGAGCTTCTGCGCTACCACTGGGGATATCATCAAGAAAATCGCCAGCAAGGACTTCCAGACACCTGGAAAGACATTTCCTTTTAATGAACTGGTCTTTATGAAGTATTGTATTGCGGTTATCTAATTTATATTTCTTGTCATTAATTTTCCGTGTAGTCAATTGTTTTTTTTAGTCTCTGTCTTATGAGGGATTGCTGTTCTTCCAAATTTAGGATTAATATATTCATCCTTTCTTTCTTTATTTCTGTATTTTAACATCTTTTCTTTTACTGTTTCAATTTCATTATAAACTTTTTCCATTTGAATATCTGAGTTATAAAAATTAAGTTCAATGGGTTTCTGTTTCGTAGAAAGATATAAGCTTTTGTTGTATGCCTGTAATGCCTGCAAAGGTAAATCATAGTTGTATGCTACATCATTATTTCCCTTCCTAATTTTTAATATTCTAATATTCTCATTTAAACTGCTATGAAAAGGTTCAATGTCCGAATTACCAGTATGTCTATGAGGTGTTGTAAATATCATTATCTTCAAGGTGTCCCGTAAATACTGGATTAGAAAACGTCGGGTCATTATCCATAGTAATCTTTTGGGGTTTCTTCATGATGAGGAACAATTTATTTACAGCTTTTATAGCCTGTAATGGTGTTTTGTCAGATAATTCTTCCATTGCTGCATATTTGGTAAATTTGTCAATCATGGTCAAATAAAATATTTGGTTATTAAGATACCAAATATTCAAGTGGTAATATAAGGTCCATGTGGTGTTTCCGTTTTCTCGAATGGTAATTTGACAAGGTTTCTTTCTATTTTGAAATTACATATAACGCAGTTATTTATAATTTTAACAATTTCCTTTTTCATATTCGGATAATAGTATTTTCTTTTTAATTCAATATATGTTTTATCTATTCCTCGATGATTGTTTTCAAATCGGTGGTGTCTATTTATGATTTCTAGGAGTTCTTCGTATCTAACATCTTGCAGAAATTTAGTTGTTAATATGATTTCAAATTGTTTTGTATTTAAAGGATTATCTTTTGTGGTTTTATATTTTTCCTGTAATTTCAATAAAATTTCCGTATCCACACAACACAATGCTGTAAGATTATTTTCCATGGCTTCATTCAATATTCTTGATATTAATTCGTCGTCAAATGTTTCATAAGCGTATATTTTCCTATTTCTATCAAATATCCGTTCATGTGTCGTCTTATTGTCCTTGGAATTGTGAATTTTTATTTGGTTCTTGTAGTGCTGAAGAGGTTTCTCTGATATCTTAAAAAAATTATGGTAATCTTCGTCAGCACTGTGTATTGTAGAAGTAGGTGAAGGTGGTCTTTTCTTTAAATGTTCATCTAAATGTTTCCTAAGCAGATTCTTCTTACTAAACATTTTATTACATATCTCACATTTATGTTTCTTTTTAGCTGTGATTGCATTAACTTCTCTAATTCTTGAGAGAATTAAAGTAGCTGATACTTTATTATCCTTCCCTTCTACATGTTTGATGTCAAATTCGTGTTCATTTAACCTTATTTTCCAACGGATTAGTTTGGAATTAGGGTCCTTACGATTTGCCAGCCATATAAGGGGTTTATGGTCGGTTTTTAGCTCGAATTTGCTACCGTAAAGATAATGTCTGAATTGCTTGACTGCCCAAACAATTGCAAGTAATTCTTTTTTAATCGTGGAATAATTAATCTCATGACGGTTTAAAGTGCGTGAAGCAAATGCTATTGGTCCATTGCTTTGTGACAGGACGGCTCCTAATGCATAATTACTAGCATCGGTAGTCAGAGTAAAATTCTTTTCAAAATCCGGGTATTGAAGTACCATATCGGACATCAGAATCTGTTCTTAAATGCTTGTACATAGTCAGTATCTTTAGTATTAATTATTGCATCTTTTTTAAGTCTCATAGTCAAGGGTTTTGCAATTTTTGCATAACTTGGGATAAACTTTCTGTAGTAACCCGTTAATCCCTGAAAACTTTGTATTTCCTTAACGTTTTTTGGTATGGGGAACACCTTAATACATCTTATTTTATTCGGGTTTGGTTTTATCCCATTATTAGTCACTACATGTCCTAAAAATTCAGTCTCTTTTTTCTAAAAGTCTGATTGAAAATTCGTCTTCTTCAGAATCTCCTTCAAGATATATCCGGAACTTTTGACCGTTAATACTTACTTCTTTTTTCCTATAACTAATTACAGAACAATTTTCTTGTAATGTCGAAGAATTTGTGAAAGGTATACACCCTAAATGTTGTACCTGAATTAAGGGGAATCTTAATAGAATTTTTTGAAAAATGGGCATTGCGTTCAACCGTAATGACCCCTGCTGCAGCTTTAATGTATATTGGAGTGTGAGAATTTTTTATATATTGTGGGGGACAATGATCTTTACATATTAGATTTTCTGTGGAACCCGTGTCAATTAATAATCTTGTTTTCCTTGATCTTCCTTTGAGTATAATATAGGGAAGTCCGGTGGCTCCTTGTAAGGAACTAACCGAAAATTTTCCGCTTTGGCTTCAAAATTTTCATTAGTACCATACTCATACTCAGAACTGTATTGATCTTCTTTATTATCCTGATATACATTGTCTTGATACAAATCATCTTCGCTTATATCTATTTTATTGTTAATACTTTCTAAATTCTTACATGATTTCTGCTCCTGGTAGTGTGTCTGCCTTTTTGATTGTTGAGATGCATTAACATCCATTGATTCATGCTTTTGTTGATATGATGTTGGAGGCTGTTGTCTGGTTTGTGGTTGCTGAGGCTTGTAGTAAGGTTGTTGCGATTCTTGTTGCTGCAAATTTGGTTGTACAATTCTCGGCTGCCAATGTTGTTGTTGGTAATGTGGCTGCATTATCCTTGGTTGCCAATGTTGCTGTTGTTGGTAATGTGGCTGCATTATTTTTGGTTGCCAATGTTGTTGTTGGTGGTTTTAATGCGCATAATACAGTCCTCATATGGATTGGAAGGCGTGTTATAAAAGTCTTCAGACCAGTTTGGATATTCCTATCCACTTCATCCAATCGATTCTCCTGACCACATTTTTGGTTAAAATTGCTAGTTTGTGTTGGATGTGGTTGTAGAAATCCATAGTATCTCCTTTATACTGCGCTGCTCTCAGTTACTGATATAATTGGTCCACAGTGGCAAAGCCACCAAAGTTGGTATCTAGCATCGCTTTTATGTCAGTCCAAAGGGTCAAATGGGGATGAACCTCCATTGCTCTTCTGGCTTTTCCAGTTAGTTTTGATTTTACGAAGTTCATACACATTCTTTGAGCTTGTTCGTTGTATAACATTAATGTAGGAATTATGTCATGTTATGAATGTTGTGAGGTCTTCCTTCTTCCCATCAAATTCCCTTAATTTTTCAATATATGTAAGGGGATTGATGTCTAGCGTACGTAATTGTATGTTGTTTTGCGCTGGGTTAAGGGCTGGTTGATTTGCGTTATTCATTTTGTTTCAATTTTTTATAATCTTATTAATGTTCCAAACTTCACTTCGTTGCTATTTTTTTGGCTATTTGTAAGTCTTTAAATGTTTTTTAGTTTTCCTCTAATGTTTTACCACTTTCACTTTTTAAGTTTCGTAATTATTTCTTATATTGTAATTATTTGCTTTCTTATTTACTATTCACTAAAATGTTTCTTTAATCACTAAGTTTATTGTCCCTTTCTGGAGGACTTATCCTTTTACGTAGGATTTTGTTTCACGGACTACCAAACGATCTTGGTAATCCTACCGACTGCGCCAATTTTAATCCTTCTTAATAGGATTGTGTTTTTAAAAAAACTAAAGTGAGTTTTTCTCCCTTTAGCGAAACTCGCGTAACAAAATAAAACTTTAATTAAAGTTTGCTGCTAGAATAGAACTGAATCTTTATTTGTGAATATAAGTGCAATATACATAATTGTTTACTTAAATTTTAGATACATCGTATGATTATTGTAATATGATTATTCTACTGGTCTTTTGATTCGATCGTATGATTTGAAATACGATCGATTGTGTGATTTGCAAGAAGGGTGTGGCTGTTTTTAAATGACAGATGGTACGATAATTGTAATATGAATATATTGCCAAGTCATTGGAAAGGAATTTGGTTTGGGTTATAACATTCGTTTTATTTATGGCGGTACCATGTTATATAAAGTCTTTAAGTACCTCGAAGATGTAGTTCTCAAGTTCCACAGTTGGTCCGAGTCTACTGGACGTCTTGCGCGTTGATACCATCAGCTTGGTCGTCTCGCCGTTTACTGCCAGACCCACTTTTGCAGACTCCTTTTCAATTTGTTCAAAGGCTGTTACCGGTCGCAATGTTCGACCCATTATATCGATGTCATCGGCGTAGGCGAGTAACATATGTTGTGTGGTGTACAGATTGCCATTTCTGTTCACATTTGCGTCTCGTATGACCTTTTCCAGTATGATGTTAAAAAGATCACACGACAAACTGTCACCTTGTCTGAATCGTCATCCGGCATTAAAGGGCTCCGATAGGTCCTTTCCTACTTTAATTGCTGACCTTGTGCCACTTAAAGTTATCCTGCCTAGCCGTATTAATATTGCAGGAATGCCGAACGCAGACATGGCTTTAAAAACCTCTGAACGGATAGGGCTGTCGAATGCGGCTTTAAAGTCGACAAATAGGTAGTATATGTCGATGTGTTTTTCGTGGGTCTTTTCCAGGATTCGGCGCAGAGTGAAAATCTGGTCAATGGTGGATTTGCCATGTCTGAAGCCGCATTGGTATAGTCCGATGATGTTATTGACCATTGCCTTCAAAGGAGACTTATTCCTCTATAGTTGGCACATATCGTCTTGTCTCCTTTTTTGTGCACGGGACACAGGATGCTGAGGTTCCAATCATTGGGCATGCATTCATCTAGCCAAATTGTGCTAATCAGCTGCTAATCAGATTTGCTCACGCTCACGTTTTTCTTGTTCTTTTTTTCTGAAAACACGTTTATCATCCGTTTCCGTCTATCACAACATAATCAATTTGATTTCTCGTTACTGGATAAGGAGAGATTCAGGTGGCCTTGTGTATATCGAGATGCTTGAATCTGGTGCTGCTAACTACCATGTTTTTTGCTGCCGCGAAGTCAATCAACCTCATGCCGTTGTCGGATGTTTCTTCATAAAGGCTGAATTTTCCGACGGTGGGGCCAAAGATATTTTCCCTTCCGATTTTTGCATTAAAATCTCCCAGCAGAATTTTAATATCATGGCCAGGGCAACGGTCATATGCTGTTTCTAGGCGCTCGTAAAATATGTCTTTGGTCTGTTCATCTTTATCTTCGGTCGGAGCATGGGCGCAAAGACTGGTGTAAAAGAACTTCGCTTTTATACGGATTATAGCAATTCGCTAATCTACTGGAGTGAATCTGGAGACACGGTCTTTTATTCTCCTGTTAACCATAAATCCGCAGTCTTATTCATGTTTCGTTTCACGGCAGCTATAATGCAGGGCGTCTAATTTACTTACGCCTGCCGTTTCCATCGCATTTTCTGTAAGGCAATAATATCGGGTTTGTACTTTTTGAGTATATCCACCAAAGCGAACACTGCGCCTCTTCTGTACAACGTGCACACATTCCAAGTGCAGATTCGCAGATCGTGGTCCTTTATACGTTTGCGGGGGTCGTCAGCATTAGGGGGGTTTGGGTTTCTTTTTCTTAGCTTGTTCATAGTAGGTTGGGTTTTACGAGAGTGGGCAACTAACCCGAAGCCTCAACCCATTTTTTATAGTTCTTATGGGTGAACTCGCGGCACATATTAGCTCACTATTTTATCGGGTGATGAGCAACTCTACACTTCACAAACTTCTGACACAACTTCGAATTAAAATGGCGGGATGCGTCACTCAAAATGAAGTTCGCGTGATCGTGTATTGTAGCGTGTGGCAGATTTTTCAAAAGCATCGTGTAATTTATTTTTAATCCTGTCTCAAACTAAATGTAGAATGTCGTTTTTCGTGACTATATCTACCGTACCGTCTTTTAAAATCCCAAGTTTGTGTGCCAAATCGTACTCACTCGCGTGTGTTATCATATGTGTTCCAAATAGTGAAAAACATGGTGTAAATCCGGTTAATGTGTTCATAGTGGATCTTAAAGAATATTCGATTGCGGAAAGATATTTGTCCCAATCCTTTTGATCCACCGAAATGTACGATCTGATTGGCACACCAAATTTGTGAAAAACTTCAGACTCTAAAAATTTAATAACATTTTTCGAATTTGCTTTGGCCATTGGTTTCAAAAGAATAAATTTCGTCAAGTGGTCTAACACAATGAAAATTAATGTATTGCCTAACCTCGATCGGGGAAATTGACCAATAAAATCAATAAAAATCTTTTGTCATGACCTGTCCGTAACGGTTTCATTGCCCATTTTGGCTCTCAAGACTTTATTTGGAGCTTTCATCTCCATTAACAAAGTCTCGTACTTGTCTTGCCATTTTAGGCCAATAAAAATAGTCCCTAAGTGCAGCTATGGTTCTACCGATACCACAATAACTCCTTACTATAGACTTATGTGCATTCTCAATAAGTGATTCGGTTAAACCAGTAGGAACCCAAAGTTTCCAAGTGAAATTCTAGTGAACTGGATTGTCATCCGACGGAAGTGTCTTCTTGTATACAAACGAATCGATAATTTTTAAATCGGGAAGTTTATCCTTGTTTTCGCGTATCATTTCAATCAACTGTGTATACTCCTCACATTTGAATTAATTAGATTTTAAATCAATTAAAGGCTTTTCGGAAATGAACATATTTATTTCATCCATATGTAAACGAGATAATATGTCGCCGGCAACGTTTTGCGATCCTTTACGATGTGAATATCAAAATTGAAAGCTTGGAGTTTCAGACTCCATCTAGCCAAACGACCACTGAGATCCTTCTGTCCTATAAGCCATTTCAGAGCACTGTGATCCGTAACAACAGTAAAAGGCACTAGTTCTATAAACGGGCGAAATTTCTTAATGTCACTGATAACCGCTAAACATTCACGTTCAGTGACACTATAATTGTGTTCAGCCTTCGATAACTGTGCGGAATGAAAAGCTATGGGACGTTCCAAACCTTCAGCGTCTAATTTGTACAAGACTGCACCAATGCCTAGATTGGAAGCATCGCACTGTACATAAAATCTCTTATCGAAAACGGGATGACTTAAAACGGGACTAGTAGTCAAAGCTACTTTCAATTTATTAAATGACTCAACCGCCTGTCCATCGAAACAAAAAGGTTTTCCTTTCTTCAAAGTACTTGCAATTGAAGCTGTGATTTCGGCATAATTGCGAATAAAACGTCTAAACCAGGAAGCCATTCCTAAAAATCTGCGAACATCGCGAGTTGGTTTAGGAATTGTTATATCCGTAATACTGTTTATTTTGGAAGGATATGGCTTGAGTTTACTTTCACCGACTATAATCCTAAATATCGTAACTCTAGACGACAGAACTTGGATTTTCTTAAGTTAATGGTCAAATTCGCTCTAAACAGCATCTCTCCTACATTGCGCAACAGATCGACATGAGTAAAAGCATTAGTAAAAGGCATTAGTTCTATAAACGGGCGAAATTTCTTAATGGCACTGATAACCGCTAAACATTCACGTTCAGTGACACTATAATTGTGTTCAGCCTTCGATAATTGTGCAGAATGAAAAGCTATGGGACGGTCCAAACCTTCAGCGTCTAATTGGTACAAGACTACACCAATGCCTAGATTGGAAGCAACTCTCCTACCTTGCGCAACAGATCGACATGAGTCTAAAAATCTGGCGAAACGACTAACAGATCATTAAGGTATACGAAAACCTTGTTCTTCAAGTCCGGTGAGATCACTCTATCCATTAACCGACATAACCGCTGAGCTGCGTTACACAGCCCAAACGGCATGACAGTAAATTGATAGTG